TTCTTGTTTTTTTCTTATTTTATTTGTCTGTTATTGTTCTTTTTTCTTTTTTATACTTATTTATCTTAATATTGTTTTATAAAATCAAGCTTTTTCTCAGGTTGCTCTCTTTCTGCTTTTTTAAATTTTTTCTTATTATTCACAAAAGGGCTACTTTATTTGAGTCTTGTTTCATAACTGCTATAATGATATTATTTTCTCTACTAGATATTGTGTATACCTTGTTTGCTTCATTAAAGAAGATTTTATTATGCATACTGTTTATTACCTTATATGCCCTTTTTGTAAGAATTGCATTAAAAGTTTTTCTATATTCTTTTAACAAACTTTTGTTTATATTACATAATTGTTTTCTAAATGCTTCTAAATTACATGCTCTATCTAGATTAAACTAATTTGATGTACATGTTTGTTTGTTTACTTTGCTTGTTCTATTATATTTTTCATGTAACTTGAAGAATCTACAAGACAGAGTTATGACAATTCCTTAAAATTTTCCTAAATTTTTTACTTTTTATTAAAAATTCTTTATATGCTGTTCTTTACTGTTTTTATAATTCCTTTTCTGTATCTTTGCTATTAAACTATATGCAATTTTTGCTATTTTATCTTTTTTGTTAGTACTTTAAGTCTTATTTCTTAGTCTAGTTATCAAGTTTTTCTAAATTTTGTTTTCTAAAAATTTTGGTTAAAGGATTTACAGAAAAGAGTTTTTATAAAATTTGATAATTATACATTATCTTATTTAATATTTTAAAATAGTTTCTAATTTTTATTTTTAATAAAAAACTAAAAATAAAACAAATCTAAAAAAATAATAAGAATAATAATCCTAGTATAATAATTAGTTTGTTATTTTATAACTAATAAATTCAAAGTTTAAATCTTATTTTTAGTAAAATTTTAATCTTGTACTTTTAATTATGTTAAAACTAATTTTGAAAATATATAATATTATATGAATAAATCTGAAAAAGTATATATTCTATAAAAAATTTTGTTTAAAAATCTTAAATAAAAATAGGTTTAAGTTACAGATAATTTGTCTAAACTTTTAATGTTTTTTTTTTTTATAATACCAATTATAATACTTTATTTAATTAATACCAAATTAATATATTAGAGTTATTACATTTTATTTATGCTACTATATTATTATATAAATATTTAATATAATATTATATTTACATTTTTCTAAATTAAGACTAGTACTATAATGTTTCAACTATTGTTACTAATTAAGATAAGGTTGTAGCCATCTTGTAATATTATATTTTCTAATTCTACCTAACTATAGTTCCTTTATCTAATTCTTATTATAACCTATTCCTTCTTTTAAATTGGTTGACTCTGATAATTTCTTGCTTTTCTTACTACTGTAATACTCTGAATAATTGTTAACTTAAAAATCCCTATTTATAGGATATCACAGGTTGGCTTGCATAACATTAAATAATACTACTATGAAAGAGGATGTGGATTTGGCAGAGCGTATGTTTTATTAGAGTATATGTGGATTATGTTTTTTCTTACAAATGTTTTGTGCTTTATATATTATTTACATATCTGCTAAATATGCTAGTTACTCTAAATATGCTAGTTATTTTAAATATGCTAGTTATTCTAAATTTACTGTATATGTGGTTTCTGCTAAATCTACTAACTATGCTACGTACATTCATTAAACAATTATGCAATCGATCTCTTTTAGGTTTAATGCATCATTGATCAGTTTCTAATCATTATATTACCAATTTGGTATATACAGTCCTTTATATATTAATATTAATTAGCATGACTGGATTTATTGAGATTCTGGATTATTATCTGCAATTATTACATACTTTTTTTTATGTATCCCTATAGTTGTTGTACTATTGTACTTCTAATTTGATATTGCAAGAGGGCTTAAAATCTTAACTTATTACATATAAGTATGATAACTATTAATAATATTATAATATATGACTATTGTCTTGCTTCTTAAAGGTTTATGTACCTGTCTAAGATGTTTCAATTTTGGTTAGACTAATTCTTTATCACAGATCTTCTTTGCATATACTGCTTTGCTTATTACTTCAGTTTTAACTACATTAGTATTACTCTTCCAATTAAGTACTCTGCAAGTTGAGTACAGAGATGTTGGTACTGTCTTATCTTGATAGAACTTATTTATGCAACATTTTTAGTAGTAGAACTTTCTATAATGCTGCTATTATATGTAGTGCCTTTTCTTTGCAGAGTTGATCTTTTTTGAAAAATTTCTAATCCATCTTTGTACTTTATCTTGGGACTTACTACATGGCTTTGTATCTGATTTGATTCTTATATTAGATTACAAAGTTAAAATCTTTAGATTTTGCCTTTAGCCTGACTCGAACCATTGACCTCATCTGTAAGGAGTTGGCAGCTTAACAATTAAGCTATAAAGTTCAATTCCAATCTTTAATCTTAATATTTTATAAATATAGAATTTAAATATAAATCTTTTTTTATATATTCTACTTATAAAAGTTTAACTAAATTTTAATAAAAGTAGAGATATGACCTTACTTTTAATATTAAAAAAAAAATTCTTAAATAAAAAAATAATATAATATTTGATAATACTATTTATAAAAATTTTAATTCAAAAAAAAACTTAAAATAAATAATTTATATAACAAAAATCCTAGATAAAAAAAATTTACTAATTTAATTATTGATTAATTTAAACTATATCTAAGAATAAAATTATTTTGAAAAGATGAAATCTGAAATTAAATTTAAAGATAAAATTATTTTACCCTACTTTTATTTAAAAGGCAAATTTTTTTGATAATTTTTTGAATAAACAAAATTATAAAAAATATAAATATATAAATTAAATTTGTTTTTTTTTATAAAAAAAATTTAATTTACTTTAATTAAGATGAAATAGGTCTTTTTTAAAAATATATTTTTGTGACATATATAATCTAAGTATAAAGTTACATTATATAAAACTTATTGAAATAATATTATAAAAAAAACTTGCAAAAGTAAATATAATACTAATAAAGTTATAAAAAAAAATACTAAAATTATATAAACTCTATTAAAATAAGAAATTTAATAATTAGTTCTAACAGCAAATATTAACTTTAATTATAATAATATTGGATTAACTGTAAATAAAAATATAGTAAGCCTTTAAAAGGTTACTTTAAAGATAAATTAGTTTTAAAATTAAAATAAAAAGATACTTCTGTAACTTAGTGAAATTAATACAAAGATGTAAAATTAAAAAATTTAAAATAAAATATCTAAACAAAAATGTTAAGTATAACAACTGATAAGAAACCTTTAAGCAGACTTCTTAAATAGGTAATATAAAAAATTATATATATCCAATTGTATACTCTTCTTTAACAATTTGATGTATAAACATATTATTTAATAAGTATCAATAAAGCCAAAAAAACAAAAAAATCATTAACAAAAAAATCCAAAAAATAACTTAAAATTATAATATTTATAATCAAAATTTGTTATTTTTTAAATTAATTTTAAGTATATAACATAGAACTAAATGCAAATATGATTTTAATATAAGATCGCAGCTTGAAAAGTTATTATATATACATATGTAAAACAAATCAAGACTTGTGTTAGTTATATTTTTTTTAACCAATAATATTAAATCACAGATAATCTCAGTTGAGGTGTGCTTATTTTCGAAGGTTAATGATTATTATAAAAGGTGTTTGTTTTCATAAGATGCTTGTTTTTGACAATTTGCGATAGTTAAAATGTTAAATTGGTTCTATTTGAAATGAATAATAATTAACATATTCTATTACTATTTGTAAACCTTTACAAAATCTTATTTCACTTTGTAACACTATTTCTGTATTTTTAGCATTAGTGTATTAAAACATAATAAATCGTATCTTATCTTTGTCTATGTCTTATAAATAGTTTAGTTAAAAGAATCAATTTGCAGTTTATTAAGAACGAGAAAAAAATTAATGCTTTCATCATCGTTATTAAAGGCTTAATTAACGTTAATGATCACATCATTATATAATGTAATGTGATAATGTCGAAGGTCAGGTTCAAATGATGGATGTTTCAAAAGCCACTATCGTTGTACATGTCCTATTTTTAAGTGGCCTTATATAGAATTACGTATGCAAAAAGTACATACTTTGCATGAATGTCATCGTGATCTCTATATAACGATAAGGTCACTTTAAAAAAAAAAGAGGAAGTGTATATCTGCAGGAATTTGGATTTAAGACAACCAACAATTAGAAGTAGTTAGTAAAGTAGTGCTGTACGATTGTACAAATATGTAGGGACGTACGAAAATTGAGTAATTTTGATAACATAGGTTTGTAAAATTAATTTTTATAAGTCCATTATTCGTTTGGCACAAGAATGTGACGAATAATTGGATGTGGCTAATAAGCATTAGTTAATATAATTATTTAGCCAATGATTACTCGTCACACAATAATTCGTCACATCCTCATGCCTAATGTAAGAGGAGACCTAATCCTTTGCAAGTAAACCATTTTTTTTTATGTTTAGGGTTAGGCCAAGTGCGAGCATTGTTCTTTTTTCGTGTGAGGTTATAGGAAAATTGGCTTTTTTCGAAAGAATTTTTTCTATTACAAACCGTACGTACTGTCATGATTTCCACATGTCCATACTAATTTACTATATACTCAAACAATAAACTACGCCTCAATAAAAAGCGTATGTTCGTAGGTACCAAGTTATTTAACTGCGGATTCTGTAAATTCCGCAAAGTCCGTAATGATGCCTTTTGAGGTGAATGAACTTTCATGCGCCGTAATTGCGTATTTTATGCATTTTATGCATCACGTACAATCGCAAAAAGTTCGGCCAATCAAATGACGCAATCAAAGATTTAAATATGGTTGACGCCTCTAACAGTTTACATAAAAGAAACGACAATAGACGCAGTAGACTGTACATAAATTTTTTAGAAAAAAAAGTCAATATAAACTAAGATGCCAATTAAAAGAACTAGAACTACTACTGCCTCGGCTGAATCTAATTCTGCGAGCAAATCAGCTAGAGGTCACTATTCTGTTCATTGTCATTTTTGCACGTATTTTTACAATATACTTAACTAAATTTTCTTGTTAGGACGTGGGAGGCCACTTTCAGCTTCTCAAACTCTAAATACATACGGAAAACGTGAACAAGAACACGTAGTTGCAGATACAGAACAAGATTTGATGCAAATCGATAAATCAAGGTCAGCTAATGTTGAAAGCCCACAAAGCTCACCCAGACTAGGAATTCAAGATTCACAGGATTCACAAATGGAATTTATACAAGAAGGTCTTAATAGAGTAACAGTACGAGGTGACTCTTTATCTAACATGCCACCTCGTGCACCTAAATATCGTAGTAAATTCGCTATAGACGTTCAAACCCCTACAATTATTGATCGTGGTTCAGAGATTACTTCTGTTCTTGTTATTGGTAATAATGATGTAGGACAGTTGGGCTTAGTTGATACAGAAGAAGCTTTAAATCCTGTTTGCATTCGGGATCTTGATAAGTTCAGGATAGTAGACATTAGTGTAGGGTGTCTTCACACCGCGGCTTTGACTCGTGATGGAAAGGTTACTTACGCGATTTATTATCTTTTAATAATTAAATAATTTAAATAGCTTGAAAAAAATAACCTGAAAAATCTTTTTATTCTAGGTTATCACTTGGGGATGCAACGATCATGGTACGTTTTTATTATTATTAAATTTAAAAACCAAACAGAACGAAATTAATTTTAATATTTGTAGGCGCATTGGGGAGAGTCACAAGTGACGAAGACGACAAAGAATTACCACCAAATGTAGGCAGAGAGAACGTACCTGACTACGCACAAGGTCTTGATGGTGTTACCATAGTAAAAGTAGAGTGTGGTGGTAACATTACGTTGGCCTTGTCAGAAGATGGTCAAATATACATGGCTGGAACATTCAAGGTATGCTAATTTTTAGCAGTAGGTTATTGGCTAAAAGATTGACAGACCAAATGATAGATTTTCCGTTCATGTGATTTTCTGAAATCAATAGTCGTCAAACAAAAAAACTAAATTATGTAGGGTTTAGTGTAAGGGCTATAATTTAGCAAAATTGTATTAGGAAAATTTTTTGTTAAGATTACAAAAGCGATTTACTGGCCTAAATTTTGAGATAAACCAGATTTTTACAAAGCGAACGGTTTTTTTTTTTTTACTTTATTCTTGATCCTGATTTTTAATTGGTTGAATGATTCGGGAAATCACATGAGCGATAAATCTGGCGTCGTGTATTGGCTAATAAAATATTTTAATATGATTTTACATTGCAGGACAAAAACGGTGTTTTGGGATTTTCTGCCAAGGAGAAACAACTTCTCCAACAGTCAACGTTTATAAGATATGACTCAACTACTAAATTCAAGATCGCTGATATAGCAACTGGAACGGATCACGCATTGTTTTTAACGACTGAAGGATTTTTATATGCCTGGGGAAGCGGAGATGCCCACCAGCTTGGAAGAAGAGTTTTGGCGCGTCATGTTCGAGATGGCTTGAATCCAGAGAAAATCGCAGTCAAAGGCATTGAGAAAATCTTTGCAGGTTCATATCATAGTTTTGCAGTTGCAGAAAATGGAACTGTTTATGCTTGGGGAATGAACAACTACGGTCAGTGTGGAATAAGAACACGTGATGAATATATCACACAACCAATAAGAATAGATTTTTTTAAAGATCTGCCAAAGGTACGACAAATTGCAGCGGGAGAACATCATACGTTGGTGCTTTTAGAGGACGGGTCGATATATAGTTTTGGCCGGGCGGATTATGGACAATTAGGAATAGGTGATGTGCCGGAAGACGATGATGAAGAACCACAAAAAATAGGACAAAAAGTTACTACACCAACTAATATTAGGAACTTTGTTCCGTGTAAATTCATCGCAGCTGGAGACTTCCATTCTATTGCAGCTAGCAGTGATAATGATAGATTGTATTCATGGGGGTTTGGAGAGCCATTTGGAATTGGTGACGAAGAGAAAAAGGAACCATATCTACTATCCGATGGAAGTCTTGAAGGACGATCCATCTTGGCAATTGGTGGTGGATCTCAACATACCGTAATATTAGTTCAGTGAATCTAATCAGTAAAAAAAAAAAAGAGCAGTATTAACTAAATAAGCACGGCTGGGATATTATGTCTACCGTTAAAAGTTGTATCCGATATAGTATAAACGATGTTTTTTCATTTTGTTACGAACTTTAGTAAACTGGTTGCAATAAAATAAAAAGAACACTTGAATTATATTTATTTTGCGATGAGCAACAATAATATATATATATATATATATATATAAAAGCTAATTACATACTGTGGTTGAATAGGATTTGCTGTTTCCTTTTAAGATACAGGTTAAGAAAATGCAAATGAATTTAATATGCGTAAGTATATGTCTGAAAGAATAAATCTTCTTGCATTTTATTGAATATAGTTGTCCAACAAAAAATTTTAATATTTAATATGGTAAATAATAGTCGATAAGGTCAACTGAAGCACCGTAGATATAAAAACGAGAGCAATTCAGGAATAATAATTTCTCACTTTTCTTTAAAGTTCTTGTCACATGGTCAAAATATACAGACACCTGTAGATAATACTTTGGAGTTTCCTAACACTTAAAGTAAGCAATCTATCTTTTTGAATCTTTATACATTTATGATTAACAAAATAAACTCCTATTTAAAATTTACATCAAAAACTGATCTAAACATAATGGATATCCATTGTGAACTTGCATGAAATGAGCATAAAGATTGCAGAGGTAAATAGGTAAATACGTATAATGAGGTATTAAAAAATATAGTATAAATGTATTTGACAAAACTCTCGGAACAATAGGTGAATCATGAATGAGAAAATATTATAAAAAACTGATAAATGTATTAAAATTATGATATTTACATATGATTTGGTCATGCAAAGTTTTTTTTTTTTGTTATTATAACACCAAAATCCTAAAGCAGACCTGGCCTCTGGCTTTTTTAAAAAAACACGAGTGACGGAAAGGAAAACCCGCAAATCATGCTTACTTTTAATCTAAATTGATTTGCGGGCTTTTCCTTTCCGTCACCCACTTATACATATATGTAATTAACCAATTTTGTATGGCCTTATATTTCAACCAGTGTTTAGAATCTGAACCCAAAAATATGTGAACCCTGTAGGGTCGTGGGCACGGTGTCCCAGGTAGTGTTCCTAATCGTTAGTTGAAAAGTCAACTAGTTGACAACTTTTCAACTAATCGATTTAAAAAAATTGAAAACAACTAATCGATTAACTATCAACTAGATCAACTACAACTAATCGTTAGTTGTCAACTAGTTGCCAACTAACTATTATTTATATTAATCAAATAAATAATTTTTAATAGTTATATATTAAAAAAGGATAACGTGTACATATGTATGTATGTACGGTGCAGTAGATCTAAACTAACTTATTGGAGATAAACTAAAACATGCTATTACGTACACATTGTTCTTTGCTTATTGTTTTTATGCAAAGAGATTGTGAGTTCTAGTCCCTTCGCTTATGAGATCGAAAATTTAGGAAATTTATTTTCGGTATGCCACTTGTTATAGAGATATTGAAGTTTTTAAATTTTCACGTACGTACATACGTACGTACGTATGAAGTAATTGTGTTACATGGTCTTAATCGGCAATTGGTTAGAATAATGAAAGTTAACATGTGCATAGTTTACGTACATTACATATGATTTCGCATAAGTTTATGATAATACATATAATTTTGCATGAGTTTATTTAACATGCATATGATTTCATATGATTTTTATTAAATTTAGTGAATAGTATAAAAAGGAAAAAAAAATTACAAGGGGTTTTTTTCAATAAAAGTCATTGAAAATTTTTTTTATTTTGTCGTTCTCATAACCAACATGTGAATTAAAGATTGGTTGTTATTAGTAAAGAAAAGGATGATACAAATGGACATGTCATATGATATAATCTACCAGTTCATTTCTATGATATTAATTGGTTTTTATATAATTCAAACCAGATGAATATGCAATTAAATGAATTACATGAATTAGTATTAGTAAATTATAATATGAAGAAAAATATATTAACATTAATAATCAATTTGTTTACGTTGATAAAAATCATATTGATTTAAGCCTGAATATTAACTTGTATAGAACTTGTTTCCTTGGTTTTATGATTTGTAATATGTAAGTATCTTTAACACCAAAAATCGAATGTTCAATAGTATAAAAGAGTAATAACAAAAAGAGGAAGAGGTTTTGCTATTTGGTTATATATTATAAAAGGTTCATGATGAATGATTCTGATAATGAATTTAATTTTTCATCTGGCCAAGATGAAGAAAGTGATGTCGAATTATTAGTTTCAACATCTACATCTATTTTAGCTTTATCTACCTCAGCTTTGTCTATTCAAAATATAAAGATTACTAAAAAAAATGAAAACACCTAGTAGTTTTGTTTGGAAGTTTTTTGAAAGATATACTGCATTAAAATTATTAGATAATAAAGAAGTAGAAATGAAAAAGATTTCTTATAAATTTGAAGATTGTGATACAAAATATATATGGCTAGGATCAACCAGTAATTGTATAACTCATCTTCATGATATACACCAAATCACCAAAGAATCACTTAAAAATACATTAGTAAAAGCAAAACAACAAACAATTTACCAAGTAATTTCAAGACCTCATTCTTTTCATGTTCAAAAAAAGCTTACATATCAACTTGTGCACTATATAATTGCATGTGCTCAGCCTATTATTATTGTTGATAATGATGATTTTAGACTTCGAACAAAAAATCTCAATTCCCGATTTAAAGTTCCATGTGTTAATATTATTAAAACTGTTATATTTAACTTCTATGATTCTGCAATAAATCAAACTATAGATCTTATTTCGAAGACATCAGATACTGTTTCTTTAACCTTTGATCTTTGATCATCACGAGCACATGATAGTTATCTTGAAATCACTTGCCATTAGCTTACAGATTCATTTGATTTGCACAAGATCGTACTTGACATTGGAGAGTTGGATGAATATCATGCATCTGATATTGTTGAATCTGTTAATTCTGTTCTTAATAAATTTAAAATTAATTGTCAAAACGTTTTTTCTATTACTACTGATAATGAATCCAATGTCAGGTCTGCAGTGCAACAAATGGGTATTTCTAATGTGAAATATGCTAGGCATACACTTCAATTGAGTGTCAATTTAGGTTTAAAGGAAGTTGATGAAATCATTTCAAAATGTAAAACACTTACCTTAATTTTATCAAAAGAAAAAAAATGTAAACAACTTTGTGAAGCTTAATTACAGATTACTCTAGAGCTTAAAGAGCCACTTGATGTTATTAAAGATGTAGATACACGTTGGAATTCTACTCTTTATGCTATTAAATGTCTCGTATATTTAAAACCTGCTATTATACAATTATACTCAACTCTTACTAACCATACAATTAGAGAGGTCAGAAAAGGAGCAGAAACCATGGGCCCTTATATTTCCTTTTCAGAAGAATTTGAATTATTAGAAGAACTCATCGAAGTTCTTTTCCCTTTTGATGAAGTCACTCAATTTTTAAGCGGATCGAAGTATCCAATACTGGGTTTCATGACACCAATTTTGAAAGAACTTGCTCATCAGCTTAGATATTTTATTGGACAAAATAGTATAGCAATTCTTGTTAAAGATACAATTTTAGACAATTTAATTGAATGGTGGGATGATCCAAATGAAATAGGCATGTGCTGCTCCTTCCTCGATCCATGTTTTAAAAAGCTAAATTTCTGCACTAATGCTTTATAGCATACAACTATTCAGAATATGCGTCAACAATTTAATGAGCTATGTCTAATACAAACCTCTAATGATAATCTAACATCAACTAATAATAATAATTCATCTTTAACATCTTCATATCAACATAAAAAAAACAAAATATCAGCATTTTTTACGCATTTGCATACAGAAAACTCTAATGTTGAGCCTGATGAATTTGACCAATATTGTGAACTCCTCTCAATTGCTCTTGATGAAGAATCTTGTCCTTTAGAATAATGGCGTAAACACAATACCTTCTTTCCTACTTAGCGATTTTAGCAAGAAAATATCTTGCAGTGTCAGCATCTTCTGTACCATCAGAGCACCTATTTTCTAATGTCATAAATCATGTAACGGATAAGCATAATAGACTTGATCCAGATTTTTTGAACAAATTAGTATTTCTTAAAAAAAATATGAAATCTATTAATATTTTTTCTTCACTCAATTAAATCATATTTTTTATTTACTGAACATTTTTTATAAAATATTAAATAAATCATATTTTTATCATTTACGAAATTCGAATTTTATATAGAGTTTCATATTTAAACTTAAACTTACTAGTAGCAATTTACAGGATTTAACTTTGTGAGTATTATATCTATATATTAGTACTCAAATTCAAGTTTAATGACTTAATATATATTAACTTTATTATTAATATAATAAGCAATAGCTATATATTATTCTTTAAATAGCATAGTAAGTATTAATTTATAATTTAATATTTACCTTTAGATGATATTTTTCAGATTACTTAAGAATTACTTATTAAAATTCACAATTCAAGCTTGCAAGTATTTACCTTAAATAGTATTTCCAAGTTGTTTGATTATGTGATAGATTGTACATATAATATTCTTTTAATTTGCAATTTGAACTTATATGTACTTATCTAAAAGCAGTACTTTTTCAGACTTTTAATTTGCATTAATTTGGTCTGTATTGAATAATCTTTTATTGCACATCTAAATCTGCAATTTGACTTGTAAGTATTTCATTAAATGTACTTTCTAATTTAATTTGAACGAATGTGAATATACAAATATTTACCTTTTTCTAGTCATTAATGTTATACTAATCTATAGGTATAAAGATTATTTGCTACTCTATTTAAAATTTATAATTTGAATATATATAACTATTTTATTAATATAGCATTTTTTAGTTATTTATTTCGCATAAATTTTGTGAGTATAAAAATAATCATCTATTAAGTTAAAATATGCGATTTAAATTTATAATCATTTATCTCAAATAGCAACTTTCAAATATTGAACTTAGCATTATTATGGTGTATATTAAGTTCAGTAGGTCTATATTATTTTACTGACAATCACTTAATAGACATCACATTTCACTGACAATTACTCACCAACAAGTTCATTTTATATCGAAGCTTATTTTACTAACTAGTTTTTTTTTTTATGATTTATACTAACTTAAACTTTAATTCTAACCTAATCATAATGTTATTGACCAGAATTACTTTTCTGTAAAATAAGCTTTGGTAAAATAAACTGTTAGTAAAATAAACTTGTTAATAACTAATTGTTAGTGAAATATAGTGTCTATGAATTGATTATCAATAAGTTGATCAAATTCCAAGTTGGGCCTATTATCTTATTTAAATCTTATAAATCAAGCTTACAAGTATTTTCTTTTGAAAGCATCCCTCTAGTCAACTGATTTTTGTTACTTTGGTGGGTATTGTTACAGTACCGTGGCCTTCTTAACAGCAGTACTATAACAATGACACAGCTACAGAGATCCTTTATAGGTTTATAGTGGTGTCCAAGAGGTAAGTATAATTCCTTAGTCTGTAAGAAACTATACCCTTCTCTC